TCCCATTTTAAGGTTGTTAGCACCTTGACTTCAGGTCTGGAACAGGGAAGAGATGACCACAAAAAAGGCTGAAGACTACCTGCTATGGCTTTTTAAATTAAAGTGCATGCACCTATATTTACACAAAACAGAAACCCTTTATCTTCACTTAGCTTACTTGGCTTCATTACCTCAAGCTTTTCTTTTCTGACCAGATGTTTCACATTTATTATTTTTATTATTTTTTTATTTTATTTTTTTTTGAGTTGGAGTCTCACTCTGTTGCCCAGACTGGAGTGCAGTGGCCGCTCCCGGCCACCGCAGCCTCGACCTGCTGGGCTCCGGCGATCCTTCCGCCTCAGCCTTCCGAGTAGCTGGAATTACAGGCATGCGCTACCACGCCCGGCTGAATTTTTGATTTATTGTAGAGATGAGGTCTCGCTGTCCAGGCGGGTCTCGAACCCGCGGGCTCAGCCCATCCACTCACCTCAGCCTCCCAAAGGTGCGGGATTACAGGCTGAGCCACTGAGCCTGGCAGATGTTTCACATTTAAATGAACCGCTCTTTCGTCTGAACATCAGGTGACTAAAGATGGGAAGAAGGGCTTGTCCCATTTCTTAGTTTTAGTTATGTCTGAGGCTGAACTTAAAGAAAAAGTATTGCTTATGGCGTCTACCAAGGCAGCTGAAATGATAAGGATGCATGCGTCCAAAGGGGAAATATTTTTGCCACTAGGCAAGATTGTAATAAAAGCCTCTCATTCATCGTCTGCTGAGGGCAAACATGCCACTGCAAAATTACCTAGTAATGAAAGATCTAGGCAGCTCTATGGCACGTTTAATCAGAAGATCTCAAAGCAATCACCTGCACTGTTGCCAGCAATGCTTTGTCACTGACAGGATGCAAAATTACAAGTATCTCTTTCTGGGGGTGGGACTCACTGTGAGGCTATGATAGATCAAGATTAAACAAATGAGTAAAAAAATAATAATTATTATTATTACTGAATGTAATTATTAATGATAAATCTTACTGAATAGAATGAATTGAATCTATATTTAGATATTAATATATTTAATATAATGAATATAATAGATGCAAACCGTTGACAGAAGAAATAAAGTGTGTACTATATGATAGTGCAGTGGGGAAATTACAGTTCACAGTAATCTATTGTATATTTCAGAATAATTAGAAGATAAGAACTGTAATGTTCCCAACACAAAGAAAAGATAAATGTTTGAGTGATGGCTATCCCAATTACACATATTTGATTGTTATATGTTATGCACATAATATGTATCAAAATATCACAGGTACTCTCCAAAAATGTACAACCATGATATAGCAATTTTAAAATACAAAAATAAAAAAATTATTATATGTACATTTACATACCCCTCTATGGAATTTTTAAAGTTTGTTTTATTTTATTTTTATTGAGATGGAGGTCTCACTGTGTTGCCCAGGCTGGTCTCGAACTTCAGGGCTCAAGGGATCCTCCTGCCTTGGCCTCCCAAGGGATTACAAGCATAAGCTACTACACCTGGCCAATATATATGGAATTTAAATTTCATTGCCTATCAAGCGAGATCACATATAAATATTTTATTGTAAATCCTCAAACATCACGCAAAGAACTAGTAGTAACACACATTGTAATTCAGAGGACGAACTTTGGAATCAACCAGAACTGGGCTCCAATCCTGTCTCTGCCACGTCTTCCCATTGTGGCCCTGGGCAAGTGTCTTACTCTCTCCAAGTGTGAATGCCCTCCTCTGTAAAATGGGCAACACGAGGGATCAGATGAGATACTTCATGGAAAGCAAAGAAGAAGAAGAAGAGTGGCTGGCGAACACCAAGTGCTCTGCACAGTCAGCGCTTGGCATTTGAACTAGAAAGTTGCCCATTACTGTGCCCACACTACACCCCCTTCCTGAAGTCCCCGCTGCTTGACGTCAGGGTTTTCATTCCATCACTTCCAGTCTGGTCTTACTCTTCTCCCCACGCAGTTTGGACACACAGTCAACTGCTGCAGGTACAGGGTTCCTCCCACCTGATCTTCCAGTTTAGATTGTCCCAATGGCCTCTCGGCTTCAGCCTTTCCGACTCTAATCCATCCTACACTAGAATACTCATGGCTTTGCTCCTGCCAAGTGAACAATAACTGTGGATGTCATCCCCATGGTGTTTTTTTTGGGGGGGGTGTTATTTGAATATCCATGCCTGCCTTGTGTCCCTATGTCCCATGGGCAACTAAAACAGAAAGATAAAATCAAATCAACTCTTTGTCCTTGCTGGTGTCTTCATCAATTCACGACCAGTCCTGCGTTACTGGACTCGCCACCCAACAGAAAGTCTTCCAGCTCATTAAAACAGTACATCGCCAGGCTCGGTGGCTCAGCCCGTAATCCCAGCACTTTGGGAGGCCAGGGCGTGTGGATTGCCTGAACCCGGGGGTTTACCATCAGCTCCCACAACTTGGCGAGACCTTGTCTCTACAATAAATCAAAAAATTAACCAGGCGTGGTAGCGCTTGCCTGTAGTTCCCGCTACTTGGAAGGCTAGTGTGGAAGGATCTCCAGAGCCCAACAGGTCAACGCTGGGGTGGCTGTGAGTGTGCCACTGTACTCCAGCCTGGGCGACAGAGCGAGACTTCAATTTAAAAAAAAAAAAGTATTGACTGGGAGCAGTGACTCAGTTTGTAATCCCAGCACTTCTAGAGGCCTAGGCAAGAGGATTGCCTGAGCCCGGGGGGGTTTGAGACCAGCCTGGGCAACTTGGTGAGACCTCATCTCTACAATAAATCACAAAATTAGCCGGGCATGGTAGCGCATGCCTGTAGTTCCAACTACTTGGAAGGCTGAGGCAGAAGGATCAACTGAGCCCAGCAGGTCAAGACTGCAGTGGCTGTGAGCATGCCACTGCACTCCCGCCTGGACGACAGAGTAAGACTCCAACTCAAAAAACAAAAACAAAAACAAAACTGTATATCTCTACTTTCTTGCATATCCAACAAATATAAACTTGGCCATGTAGTCTAATCAGCTAACTACAGTACTGCTATAAATATATTAATCTGGAGGTGGCTATCACTGAAAATCGAACAGATGTTTTATTGGATTTGGGTTTTGATTTAGTGGTGCTAAAAATAATTACAGTTGTTGCTATAACTGAGGGTTTGGTGAAACTCTGTCCAATTTCAGGATAGAAGGATCTGCATCCTTCTATCAGCAGAAATGAGCTTTAATCATTTAATAATATAAACCTTCAGAGTTTCTAATGGAACTTTTTTTTTTTGAGTTGGAGTCTCACTCTGTCACTCAGACTGGAGTGCAGTGGCACGCTTCCGTGCCACTGCAACCTCGACCTGCTGGGCTCCAGCAATCCTTCCGCCTCAACCTTCCAAGCAGCTGGAACTATAGGCACGCTCTACCATGCCCAGTTAATTTTTTGATTTATTGTAGAGATGAGGTCTCGCCAAGTTGCCCAGGCGGGTCTCGAACCCGTGGGCTCAGGCAATCCACTCACCTCGGTCTCCCAAAGTGCGAGTTTATAGGCCGAGCCACCGAGCCTGGCCACTTATTTTTAAAATTATGTTTTACCCTTATCATTGCTATTTGAAAGTGTTTTTTTTTTTTTTGTCAGTGAGGCTTCTTAGATTCAAGTCAGCAAGTCAGCTCAAAAAATGATTTGTAAAACTAGATAGGGAAAAAATACTTTCAAAAATCAGAATATCTTAATAAGCCGGGCTCGGTGGCTCAGCCTGTAATCCCGCGCCTTTGGGAGGCTGAGGTGAGTGGATTGCCTGAGTCCGCGGGTTCGAGACCCGCCTGGGCAACGAGACCTCATCTCTACAATAAATAAAAAAATCAGCTGGGTAATTCTGGCTACTCGGAAGGCTGAGGTGGAAGGATCGCCAGAGCCCAGCAGGTCGAGGCTGCGGTGGCCGGGAGCAGCCACTGCACTCCAGTCTGGGTGACAGAGTGAGACTCCAACTCAAAAAAAAAAGAATATCTTAATAATAGATTCCCGAAAATGTCTGAGATTTTAAGTCTTGTTCCAAGCTACTTGGCCAGGAAATGACAAAACAAACAAACAAGGAAAAAAAAAACCAAAAAACAACCTTACCCAGGGGACATCTTTGGAGTGAACCCTTTAGGGAAACCCTCCCTCTAAGTTTCCTGTCCAAATTGAAATAACTGTACAATTCAATCCATCAGACTATTCAGCAATTAAAATCCAAAAAAGAGAAAAAAGTAGATAAATAATTCAAAATGCTGCCTAAGAGCAGAATTTTTTTCAAATCATTCCCTCCTCCGGCCTTTGACTCTCAGAAAATTATCACAAAACATCCATATTATGAATACTTGTATAGGTCCATTTCTTTCTGTACTACTATACGTATCCCAATTATCATTTCCAAATTTTCCCAGACTGCTTTGACATGTGATTCATTTTAGGTAAGTAAATTTCATAAATTCTATCATCAAACTTTTCAAATTGCAAATTTTCATATGTGGAAATGTACAAACCATTTAAAAAAATGCTTTCCCATGCTATACTGCTCCTTTTTTTATTGAGCCATTGATCGCTCAGAAGCACCATAACCAGTTAATTCAAGGTCAGTTTTGGCCGTTGTCAAGGCTCCAGTGCTTATTGTCATTGCTCCCTCCACATCTTTTGAGAATTCAAATTCTCGGCCCAGTGTGGTGGCTGACGCCTGTAATTCCAGCACTCCGAGAGACCAAGGCAGGAAGATCACTTGAGGCCTGGAGTTTAAGACCTGCCGGGGCAACATAGTGAGACCCTGTCTCTATTTTTAAGAGCACTAACAATAATAATAAGATAATTTAAATTCTGAGAATTTAAAAGGCCTCACACACCTCCTCTCCCAGTGAGAGATCCCCCACAACGTCTTAGTGATAACATAAGTTTGCAGACCCAAGCATTCACCAAATAACCAGACCACTCCTCTGACTCCAATCCCTTCTATAACCGCATCAGGAACACTCACCCACCTTTGGCTTGTCAATAATTGATGGTCTGGGGATGGAAGCCTGAAAAGTAGCCGTTTCACAGTCGGCTTCACCGTCCAGGGACCCGGGCCCATCCTCGGCTGTCTCAGCAGGCCGGGCAGCCGTGTGGTTACCCGTGTTCCGGTTCGCGCGGCCATTCCTCTCGGCGTGGGGGCCCGCATCTCTCCTCTTCTCTGGAGCTCCTTCGGGTGCTGCTCTCGGGTGACTTGGGTGACCCGCTCTGGCCACGGGCTGCACGTAGACGGTGGCGTGACCATCAGCCACGCTGGGCTGATCAAAGGGCGCATTCTCCCTGGCGTTCCCAAAGCAAGCGAGCAGAGCCGAGCATGGAAACGGATGCATCCTTCTGGAGGGGGGAGATTTCAGTCTTTTGGCCAGCCTCGCCTTCCACGTGGACATGAGCTGCAGTGAAACATCACAAAGCTCAAAGGGGGAGAGGAAATTTTCCAGGGCTTCAGATCACCTCTGCCTGCCACATAGGAGCTATTTTCCTTGCAAAGAGGACTTGCTAGTGATTGCCCCCACACAGAAGTGAGGGAGATGGCAAGACCATCCACTCCCAGAGTCGTTCAGCAGAGGGGATCCTCTCCAGAAGCGGCCATCCCCGGTGATTTCGCGCTCTTCCTCCCTGGCTGCTGTCAGTGGCTCAAGAAAGCTGTCCCGGAGGCATGCGGGTGGCTCGGGTTACAGTCCCCAGGCCGGGCAGACGCTTCAGTGTAAGGCAGTGCCAAGTCAATAGATGGTTGCTTCAGGTTACCTTGGAGGCATAAAGATAATGTGGCCTGATAGCATCCGCCATCAGAGCGTCAGGCCGCGTATCAATAACATCATAACAGCAGCAAAACCTTCTTCGGTTACCCCCTTCAAATATTTATTCCCCCCAAACAAAACAAAAATGACCCAGTAATCCACCGTAAATGAAGACCCCCAGGGGGCCACGACCCTAGCAGCTATTTCATTATTAAAATAGGAGATAGACTTGAATATTTCATCTGGAGAACCATATTTGGGTGGGAGGGTTTTTTTTTTCTGGAGATTTCTGGACTTTTCTGCCCCTCAAACAAGCTTCCTGGTTTCAGGGTCCAATTGCTTCTCCTGATAACCTTAAATGGGTCTTTATTAATTCTTTTTTTTTTTTAACTACTTAAAGTTCTTGATTAGTTTTCACCACCAAAAGAATTAAAGAGTCCCATATTAACAGTTATTCTTATGAGTTATGTTATTATATGGAAAGATATTATATATGTGTGAAGAACTGTTCTGGTAATATACACCATATATCTATGTAGATATACGGTATACAAAGGGGACTCCCTCCAAATAAATGGAATTCTTTTTTGGAGGGCAGGCCCCTTGTCATACAGGCTTCGCCTGCTAGGTAAGTGTTCTCAGAACCCATCAGCATCAGTATACCAATAGCATTTTTGTGAGAGGCTGCATTCCATTTCAGGGTTTTTGTTTTGTTTTGTTTTTAAGATTCTTTCACTGCATTTGCCCATTTCATGATGGGTGGTTTACGAGTGCACCTGCCCACACTGCCCTGAGTGTTCAGCGTTTTTTTACCAAAAAAACAACATGACCCCATGACCCATGATTCCTTTTCGCTCCAAATGATTTTTTTTGTTCGTTTGTTTTCCTGGATGAAAAAGTCCTCAAAGGGAAGAGGTGAAACAAAAAATGGCAGAAGCACTAAAAAGCATTTTTAAAAAACCCTTTTGAGCAGTGGAAAAAGCGTCTCAATAGGTGTATTACGTCAGAGAGTACTTTGAAGGTGACTGAAGTTTAAACATGTAAGAATAAGTACACAATTTTTTATAAGTAAATTCCAGAGTTTTTTGTCTCTCCTCGTAATATTACCTAATTTCCAAAAGTAACCGCTTTTGAGCACATACCTTCTATTTCTCAGTACATTAATATTTGAATGATGAAAAAAATAACAATAAATTATAATCCTATTATAAAACAATTCAAAAATCAAGATTTTTTTTTCACCAAGCATCTGCTAAGAATGTTATAGAAACATTACTACTATAATGACTTTACCATTAATAGTGACTTTGAGGTCAAGATTTCAGGGCATGATACTCACTCTAATTTATTAGTTTGCTCTCTTTTAATTTGGTACCAAGATGTGCTCTTAAGTCATACATATTGGTAGTTGTTATGGCACTAATCCCCACATTACAGGGGCAGAAACTGATTCTTTGAAATTTCGAGTGACTAGGGCAAAGTTATGCTGCTGAGAAGGATGGGTTGGAAGCCCAAGATCCCTGCTACCTTATCTGATCTCTGAGTCTCATTTGATCTGACAATCACCTTATCAACATAACAACCATACTAGAATATTCTTCTAACCGGGCAAACAAATCCATAATGCACAGAGGCCGATATGGCTTGAGAAAGAATGGATACAGAATCAAATGCACACTGAGTCTCCACCAAATATTAGCGATAGAATATTAAAAGTTGCTTTCTTTTCGGTTACCGTGTGGCAGGCTCTATGCTAACCAAGCTGTTCCAGGCATCCCGTAGCTGAGAGATCCTTCCTTTTCCAGTGTATCCCAAGTGCAAGCAGTCCAAATCCCTCACCCACAAGGAAGCAGGAGGTCTGGGCTTCTACCAGGCCGCCTCACCAAGTATTCCTCGAGACTCCTCAGAAATGCACTTTGACTCTCGTCTGCACTGGTTGTGACAGTTCACTCAGGCAGGTTCCTCCCAAGCTGTGTCCCCTCAGACAGTATAACTAGGTTGTGATGATTCATAATAAGTTATTGGAAGCTTGGAGATAACAGGAAGGAATGAAAGGGGGGGAATCCATTCTTAAGCCTAGTTTCATCTACTCGTTCATTTATTCATTCAACTGTGTGCCACACCCTGTTTGGAACTGGAAAGGAAGTAGGTAAAAATGCAGCTTGCGAGTGTTGGTATTCAGTAGACCACTGGGTACAAAGGTGGTCTTACCCAGAGCCCCTCTATCAGGTCTGCTGAGGCCCCCAGTTTGCAGCCCTGCTGGAGGGACCACCTTACTTCCCTCAAGGGAGGTACTCAAGAGGAGAATGTCTGAACTAAATGAGTCCCAGCCCCAACCACTGAGGACAGTGGCTTTTTTTTAACCAGTGTGGTTGCTACGTCTGACCTAGAAAATGGCACTAACAGATCATGGTTATTGAGTATTTAGTATCAGGCATGAATTTCAGCAAATTAACTCACTTAATCCTCATAACCCTGGGAGAAAGGTGATATTATTATTCCTGTTTTTTTTTCACCCATTAAGAACACAAGACACAGAAACTTAAGTAACTTGCCCAAGGTCATGGCACAGCTAAGGAAGAGAGCCAGGGTTATGAGCTTAGACAGCTGGCCCCAGAGCTCACTCTCATCAGTATGCAATACCATTTTCCAAACACACACACACACACACACACACACACACACACACAAAGAAGAACTTTCCAACAGCCTTCAATCCAACACTCAACCTCAAAGAATTTACTCTAAAGCTATTGTTATGCATAGAGATATGTCCGAGAATGCGTCAGAATTAATTGCCATTCGATAGAAGACAAGGTGATAGATTTTTAAAAATCCAAACAATTGAATATGATGCAGTTATTCAAAAGAAAGATATAGAGACGTCAGGTTTAATATAGTGTTACTAATTAAGCAAGTGTGTTTATATCCTCTCCTCTCTAGAAAACCATTAAGATATACTAATGGAATGATTTTAAAGGCTTAAATTCACAACATTAAAGAGAATAGACAAGGAGTCATTAACACACAAGAAAACTCAACAAATTCCTATAAAACGAAAAGCCGATGAGATATTAATTAATGAAAAAAATCAGAAAGCTGACATGCTGTTGACTTGAACAGCAACAATGGAACTTATGAGTAGGGCTGAAAACAGGGAATTGATTGAAGCTTTGATTATGAAAGTGAAATTTTCCTATATCCTCATCCACCTACAGACAGTATGCAAACTGGTATTTGCCTCCTGGACCTAAATAAATGAATAAATATTAAGGTACAGAATCGGTCTTTTCTAAAACTGGGTTATGAACTAGTTAGGATAGCTAGTGTGGGTGTCCGGATCCAAGAATAAAGACCTTCTCATTCTGGTGTTTAGGGCCCAGCGTAATTGGTAGATCCCTACCTGTTACCTTAAAGAGAACCCATCAGCTGCCAAATCCCACCACCATTCACAGAGTTACTCTTCAAAATCCTCCCTCATGTAAAAAGATGAATAGATCCCGAGGCATCACGAGACATTTGGGAAGAACTCTAACATCAACGACAACAACCGAGGAAACAAAAGATAAAATACTAGCGATGAAGAAATAAGGAATGGGAGTTGAGTAGATGACAGTGGCAGTTGGGTAGGTAACAGTGTCTGTCACTGAAAATATGGTGCAGAGTATACCACAGTGCAGCTTGATTCTGAGCAAAGACCCTGGTGGAGCAGAAGTCAGAGAATCTTGGCAACTTGATACCAGGAACATTCTCGTTGAGTGCCACATGGCAGAAATCCTAGAGAATTTCAAAACATAATTTGCTATGCCCTAAAAACTGTTTATATAGCTGTGATCATATAAATGCCATTCACATTTTTGTCAGCTTTCAAATAGAATATACAGACCAATAGTTGGCTACTAGTGGCACTCAAGAAAAATTTGGATTCCAATGGATTTTGCTTAGCTAATGGCATTTTACAAAATGATCGCACAGCTGTTAGACCACAGTAACCATCACTTTCTGTATCTTTTGTTGGGTCAGTTCACAAATTGATGTAAACAGAACACTAAAGATGTTAGTTTGTTGCCTACAGTGAGAATTTATTTTGTTTGTTGTGCAGAATCCTTTTCCTTTTTTTTCTTTCTATCTTTTTTTTTTTTAATTTGGAACAGGCCCTTGATTTCTTCTGGAAAACACCACCTGTGCTTTAAGTTAGGGTCCAGGCCTAGTTCCAGAGTTAGATCCTAAAACCAGGGTTAGATAATCAGGCTGTCCATGATCCTTGTTCTGAGAGGACCGTAATAGAGTATACCATAGACTTAGGTTAGGAGCATGCTATAACCCAATAAATATGTAATCGGCTTGGGAACAATAGCACAGCCGTTTTTAGTTTTCTGTCTTAAAACATAACCTGTAACTGTTTAAAGTTTCAGTTATGGGAAAAAACTGCAAAGCTCCAGTTACAAGCTTCAACCCCTTCCCTTATCTCACTTTCCCCTTAGCAACATCCAGTCAGGTGCCAGGGGGTGATCACCTAAGTTTCCAGATGTCTCTGCAACTTCCCTAGCTAGTGGACCAAGGTCAGCCCGAGTCAGGCTAGCCAATCCTCCACGATTAAGCTGACCACCAGAGGTTACTACCCAATTAAATGGTAACACAACTGGAAA